CTTGAAGCAGTCGCAACTCATTCAAAAGACCGAGGGAGGCACGTAGAATGAACGACTTGACGTGGCGTTTATCAAAAAGAACCCAATGCCCAGAAACATGGGTTCTGAGGCGTTACGGCTGAGGCGCTGCCTCGCTAACACGAATACACGGTTTCGGCTTTTCCCTTGGTGCCTATTAAGTGGTGTCCAAATGAAATAATCAGAATTCAGTAAGCGGACACCGACCTGGCTTGATGGTAGAACCGAGTAAACCGTGATTTTGAGAGCTAAGACCAGAATCGTCTCCTACGTCGCACGGCCAAAGGAAATAGGGAAGGCAGAATACATGATTCTTGGAAAGACGTAAATGCAAGGACGATAAATATGCTAACCTCGGAACGGCAGTTGCATTAGCTCTAGTATTCGGAGTCGTACGGGTGATACTTTTTAAAGACTACTACACATTAGCCATTTTCCAATTGATCAATGCGAAGTGAAAACGTGCAGGTGGGGAGGGGGAAGGCCGTGTGGCCTTGGTTGGTAGTCCAATTGCACCCCCTGATCGCGTGAACAGGACGCGCAACACGCCAGAGACTCGATCCCTCAACAATTCTGGCCGTTTTATTATAAGCCTGCGTCGTTATCCGTACATGTGCACACGGTCGGTCGCCATTCGAGGTCACTCTCCAGAGTGTGAATAGCGACTTATGACAGTGGGCCGCCAATTTGAACGACCAATTTACGTTTGCCCATTTGTCAATTATGTCGTCAGCATAATAGCAAAAACAGTTGGAGCATCGGATCTGGTGAATCACACCCAGGCTACCCAGGTGCATCCAGTTGGTTATTCGTGCTGGCGTGAGCTGCCAACAGATGACTGGCTGCTGTGAAAATCTACAAAGTCAGAGTGTCCATGCAAGAATCAAAATAAAAACGACGTTGAAGGTGCCACACGATCGTCGGAACGAGAACTTGTGCAGCCTTGCGTGTTTCGAATTTTTCTCACTAGCACAAAGCCAGATAATGGGGGTAGCGGGTTG